TCGATAAAGCATTAGCTCTGAGTCACAGTTCGCGTTCTGCGCAATCCCTAGGCGCTCTTGAGCAGCCAGTTCAGTATCTAGTATATAGATCTGTCCGTACTGTCTTTGTTCTTCGTGATTGGGATGAAGTGGTCCGATCTGATGAAAAATTTGACCATGAATCCGAAAACAGTATGGACCCGTTTCCTCTGGGCACGTCTACTTGAGCGCCCATGGATGTCACGCTAAAGCGGAATTAAAGTTTCTAATGTTATTGAAAAAGTTACTTTGCATTGTCTCGTGTTTGGTGTTGCATCAGCTCTTAGAAATAACTCTTTTATCTGCACGGGAAAATCGTCAGAAAGGTCCAAGTTGAAGCGTCCATAAGCGTCCATCGCAGCAATCATCAAATGTATCAGCGTGTTGCTGCTTTACCTCAAAACCAAAATGTAGTGCTCCACAAGTAACGCAACGACGATTGAGCTCTCCCAGATAGTTGGTCGTCGTGCGTACTCTGTGTGCTATACCGAGGTTGCGAGCAACATTGCGGCGCCGTCGATTCTCATTAGCCGTTACGTCCAACACCTGTTGGCCTTCGCTTTCGTCTTGTCCAGGGTGACGTTCGAGATTTTCTTGCACCTCTGCTTCTTCTTCTTCTTCAGTTTGCCGCTCACGGCGCACTCTTTGCCGCAGTGCATTCTTCTTCGACGTTTAAAGCCCTCCTCATCCGTTTCATTCTGCAACAGCCTCTGCTGACGCCTATTCTGCTCTGAAAGACGCTGAGCGCGGTCTTCTACGCTTTCAGTTTGACGTCGCCTCTGCCCGCTCAGCATTTTCAAGAAGGCGTCCAGCGCGTTCCTCATTGCTTTCATTCTGACGACGTCTTTGCTGACGTTGTGTGTTCTGGAGAAGACGTGCAGACCGACTCTCCTCACTTTCAACCACTCGAGTCTATCGCTGCCGTTGCATATTCTCAGATCGACGGCGTGCACGTTCCTCGACATTTTCTCCCTCACGTCGCCTCTGTTGACGTTGTCCATCAGCAAGACGTCTTTCAGCACCTTCGAGGAGATGCTCGGCATCGAGACGCCTCTGATTACGCTGAGTCGTGGCCATCAGACGGGCAGCTCGCTGTTGCGCTTTTCAGCTCTTCGCTCTTCGCGATGACGTTGCGAATCTTGGGTGCGTCTGATAGAGCGATGGTCAGCGTCCTCGTGCTGACGTTAGAGCAGGTGACGTTCTGCATCTGCACTGAGCCGCAGAGCACGCTGTCTTTCTCCTTCAATGCTGCGATGATTTCTTTGGCGCTCCGCATCCGATGCGAAGACGCGAGGGCGTCCGCGCCTACGAACTTCAGGCTGCTGATTTGGTTACATCACTGATTTAACTACTCTAAACCATTATATTTCAACAGCAGACTTTCAGTGGTGATAAAGCATCATTTGAGGTCACAAAGTATCATATACTGCGCAAACTAAAATTTCACTTCCTTTATAAGTGAAACACTTTGGAGTAAAAAGCTCATTTTTGGATTTCGAAAAGACAGTTTTGTGCTTCCTCATCGAAAGTATCAGAACGATCAGAATGATCGGTTCTTCACATAGTTTACAACCTTTGTAAGAATCATAATATGGCTTGGTTTCTAACAGACAGACCGTAGTAAGAGTAAACGAATAAGCAGCTGCAGATTAATGAAAATCAAAGTTGATTAAAAATTTCCGGAGAGAACTGCAAGTCCAATGAAGGGTTTCTGCGTCTTTTTCTAAGTATGTCCTCACCAAGAAGCCCTTAATATTTGTCCCATAAAGTTCACGGATTTGATGGAAAGCACGCTGTTATGATGACAGCAAAAAAACAGCGTAATTGTTCAGCATAACATGTGAGTGCTGGTTCTGACAGTGTCGTATCCCAATGCTCGTCGTTTTCGAGCAATCCAAGTCTCTGACAGGTTTCTCTAAACGTTTCGCATTGTTCTCCTTCGAAGGTCTTGAGTGCTGCGAAAGATGTACCACGAATAGTGTGAAGTAACATCCGTAGATAGTAGCATTCAGCATTCCTTGGATGCACGATGTACACTCCTATGAGTTTGAACTATGCGCTAACTCCATCATGACCGGGAACTGGCGTACCTTTCCTTGCGCAAAACTTTCTTGTTCTTTTATTCCACGTAAAATACTTTGGTATTTCTATGTACCTTCCCATTTGGTACTGCCTAACTTCATCGCTTGCTGCACTCCCTCCGAGGCGAAACACTGCCATATCACCGCCTTGGTTACGTACTTACAAATGTATTGGATTGACTTGACCAAGCAGTATTCTACATTGATGTGCGCTTGGAACATTTTAGATAAGAGCGGCGGGTATGGTACAATCCACCTGTTATCGATATCTACCTCGAAGCACCGATCGGCTATTCTCATCCGCACTTTTGCTACATGGCCTCCATCTTGTGGGCCACGTCTCCTGTACAATAGATATCCAGTCCGTTTCTCTAATCATTTGTTAAGGATAGTTTTTAGTGCATCGACCATTCTTCATGCATGGAGAGATACGATTCAGAGGGCCACATAGACCATGGATCATGTGCTATGAAACGACGTCAAAGAGAATCGGTTCTCGTCTCGTTTAGGAAGTTCAGCAGATATGACAGCATTTACTCAAACAATAACGCGGACGAGCGGCGGGCCTTAACGGCTTTCCGGGCGAGCGGCGGGCTTTGATTTGTGGGCGTGGCTTTGTTGCGGACGAGCGGCGTACCCTCGCTACCGAGCGTGCGAGCGGCGGACCTTGATTTGACCAGCGGCGGCCCATCCCCTCAAGCGGGTGGGCGGCGTACCATTAACACGTTAAACTAACTTTCCATCATTTCTATGTGCGAGTCATTCTCATTTAGTGTTATTGCGGCGTGAGGGCGGACAACTAGCAGTGGCCAGCAACAATAAGAAGGTAAGTGTGCTCAGATAGTTATGATGAGCATCTGCCGGCCACCCACATGCCCATCCCGAGGGCGCGCCTATATGCGCGCGCCACATACCTCTACCAGTTTCTGCGCAATATGAAATTCCACCAGTTATGTTTAGGTATCCGGGACATTTCGGGCCTCAAGTACTTCAAATGCGAATTCGGTGCCCCCTTTTGTACAATCACTTTTGTTGAACTGAGAAGCCATCTACTCAACAAGGAATTGATTTTTCTGCAAGAAGAAAGTGGAAAAACAAATTCTTTTTCGTTCCTTTAGGAAACGGAAACTTGCGTTTTTTGAAATATTTTTACACCGCTAAAAAAGAAAATGATTTCCTATTTCTCTGCTACCAAATACAGGTCTTCGTTCAAGCAGCAGAAGTTCTGCAATCAATGCGCAATTAAGATTTTATACGGCCGCAGAAAAGCGACCCTGCAAGGTTATGTTTGAAATTTTCAGTTCGAAAGATGTTGGCCATATTCGTGTATGCATTTTGTTGCACAACGGATCCATTTTTCCATCAAGCGGATCCACTTGGCTTCTGGCCCGCAAAATTGGATCCGTGTTTCCACTATTTGCAGAGTCTTAGATGAGTTTTGCAAGCAAATGTGCAAGCCATGGACTTGAGCTCAAAAACGCGATCAAAAGTCTACTAATTTACATAAACGGCGCCAAAAAGACTGGGTTGCGAAAATGGTCAATTTGCCGAGGTTTGACCCGAGCATTTGACAAGATTTTTGCGCAAAGATGTAGCCCACCGTCTTATGGCGACTATCGAAACAATGGAGAACTCAAAACCTATTCAAATTTGCGTTTGTTCACTTGTATGTTCACTGTTCGTTTGTTCACTGGTATTGTGATAAGCTGCAAAATATTAATCAAAAAATCAAAAATCAAAAGAATTACCCTAACAGCAAGCGAGCGGTCTACCTTCTCCAGCAAGCGTAGAGTCGGTACGACTGTTAGCAATGTTAGCACATTGCTTCCTCTGCTTAATTGTTTTGAATTACTATTGCAGTGAAATGTACCGGCCATATATTCTTAGCAGTGTCGCAGCCCCACCAAGAGTCTACGCCAAGCAGAGATCCGCTTTGAGGCAGCTGGCATCTCCTCAGAAAAAGTTCGTTTTGCAGCTCATCCTAATTTTCGATATTAAGTTCGCATTTGCAGTGATGAAAGAGTCGAGAATGAGTTCAACGAAGAAAATTCCGCAGGGATAGAAGAGGAGGTTCCTCGAGGTAAATATCTATGACGTCTTGGACAAAAAGCTTTGAAAAGTTTTTGATTTTTGAGGGAACGTCTACGAGAGGAGTGAATTCCACTTCGATGCACGTTCTCGTAATCCTGAAACATCTCCTTCTCCTAAATCCTTATACGACTGCGTTCGCAAAAATGTTTTATACATGGATCAAGCCGCCAAGTATATACTGTCAAGGATGCGTCAACAAAGATTCAATGAAGCAACTTTTCATGTGAATTCTACCCCTGTAAACTACAAAAGCAAAAAAGGATTTTTTTGTAGGAATTTGTGAGATCCAACGTAGTAATGTGCGCAAAGACGACATATGGAGATCTAAATCGCTTGAATGATCCCGATAACCATCAGCTGTGGAACATTGCTAATAGGATGACGGTATGGCTGAGTTTCTTGTTCGTTAATATCATTGTAATATCCTGTTTCAGGCTGAGATAGCCAGGGCAATTTCAACAAAGACGGCACGATTTATGGAAAATGCGGAAAGGAATGCTCCAAATACTAACGTTACTGTTAGTGTGCACAATTGCTCAAAGCTATGGAAGATAGACGCGAATCCCCCGTTTGAGCAGGTTCCTAAAGATTTCATGACATTTATGAAAACACTAATCTAGGTCAGTCTAACGCAACTAGCTAGGGATTGGGAGAGAAAAGGAAAAGGGAATGCGTATCAACTACTTTGTTCTTTGTATCGATTTGTGCTGGAAAAGTAAGTTTCAGGAAGATTTGCAAGGAAGGGTACTTTCTACAAAGTGCATTTAGATCACGGAGCCCCCAGAAAAAATCCAGGAATTTTCCGTGAGAATGAGCCAAACCGGAGGAAGGAATGAGGCTTTAAAAAGCCTCCCCGAAGAAATTGAGGACGTGTTGAAAGGTAAAGGGCAAGTTTATAGGGGCGCGGTTTGACAATATTACCAATATTTAGATTTTGGAGAAGATATGCTAGGCTTCGGGCACGACGAATTAAAACCTTGGATGGATGTCAATCTTGAGAATTCTAAGTGAGCTCTCCAAGATCGAGACTTGCTGTGAACTACGAAATAATTCATTAAAGGTTTTACAAAAATCTAGCAAAAACGGATGAAGAAAGAGAGAAAATTTTGGATGAATTAATGGAGCAGCAAAAGGACTGGCGGCCACACCTCTTCAGATGCCTGCAAATGGCGCTGTATGTTTAAAAAAATCGGTTTCACCATTCTATTAGGTCGTTCCGAAAGTAATGTCGTTTTTTTCAAACGTATGCCACATCTCGTGGAACAATGATGTGTAAGAGATTCTGGTAGCATTTGATGCAGCATTTCATTCTCTTTCTAATGGTTATGAAGCTGTTGAAACACAATCAATGAGCTTCCAGAAAAGAGTCAAAATCTGCGACCTATGTTTTTTTGAGATGGCCAAGTTTCACAATTTTTCTAAAATTTTATAACAAACCTCAGAAGGAGTCCAAGTAATGGATGGATGGAGCAAACTCTACAGGAAACAGCACAACTTTTTTCTACTTTCCAGAGCTCGTCATAATTTTTGTACAGATTTTTCGATGAAACCACCGAATTTTAGCAGGCTCGTCTCAGACGCAAGTGCATCAAACGCCAACAAGTCTCCGGATTTTGAGACTTACAAAGATGAATTATGGTTTGGCAACAATTTTACAAACCAAACGAGCATTAACCGCTTCGGTTTAGCCACTTTCGAAAATTTCGGGTACACCTTGGGGTGCTTTGGAAAAGTTGAATTATGATGATTTTATCCCGGAAAACTTGATGAATCGGAAACAAAAAACGACCTCTGGAAAGAGGAGAAAAAGCTGCATCGAATGGCACCCGAGTCGCTTTCCGGTTGTTGTTCTGTGAGGTTTGACTTGACTAAATGTGGAATTTGATGGCATTGAGAAATTGATTGTAAAAACTCTGAGAAGCAAGCTAAGGAAAAGAAAAAACTACTTTTTGTTCTATAGTGTTTGCTCTATCTACCTGCCACTTGTACCTTTTCGGAGATTAGGTACAAAAATTTAGAAAAATAGCCGAACTTGACCATGGCAAAAAGCATGATTCGCAGATTTTGGTAATTTTTCGAGAGCTCATTAAACTTTATGCGGTGAAATTAGAACCATTAGAAAGAGGATGAAATTCTGCATCGAATGCTCCTAAGACCTCTTGAAAATGTTGATTCCACGGATAGTGGCGTTCATTCGAAAAAAGCGACATTACTTTCGGAACGACCTAATACATATTGTTCATAAAATTTAGGCGAGATGTGCGGTCTTACAGTTACCACTCGGGGAAATGGATACCTAGCGACGTGAGAACATAACAGCAAATAGACAATTTAGTGATTAGTTTATGTGCTTCAGCGACAGAAACGTGCGGCACCAGGAGATGAAGATGCTTTGGAAGGTGGAAGAAAAAGATTGAGAAGATTCTAGAAGAAGACTTTTTGGTAAACAGCGGATTTTTGGCGTACGTGTAGATGGGTGCTTGCACCTTTGCACCTTTTTTCCGCTCATGAGAATGTGATCTTGTTGTTTATTTCGTTGATACTTATTTTGTTCCGGTTTATCACCTCGTGCTGTTTCAATTCATGACGCTGAGCATGCTATTGCATCTGCTTTTGCATGTGGTTAGCTTTTCTAATAAACCATCGTTACAATAATTGTTTGTACATATCTATCTCAAGAATTTAGGCGTTAGCACATCTGCCCATAGGAAAAGAAAGGAGAGATTATTAACGCAATGACAGTAAGCTGTCAAATCCGTGCAGTCTTCAGAAGAGGCATATCTCTAGAGGGAGAGCGAGACAATATATAGATATTAGCCCGCCAAAGGCACTCCGCTCGTCCGCTTTGATGCGAGCGGACGAGCGGAGTACTTTTAGCGGGAGAGTGGAGGGAAGTACTCCGCTCGCCCGCTAAGGGTACTCCGCTCGCCCGCTAAAGGTACTCCGCTCGTCCGCTTTATATCTGTAGCGGGCGGCCCGCGTGCTCTAGAGGACGAGCGGCGGGAGGCATGATCGCCCGCCCGGTAATGGCCCGCCGCTCGTCCGAGTTATTGTCTGAGTACTTGCGTTGTATGAATCTTCTCTCTCAACCACACCAGAATGGAGTGTGGGAGCTTTCTTTCTTGCCAGCTCGATGGAATACATCCAACAGCGAGTTTCACCAAAGATGTGGCTTTTCGTTATTACATCTATGAGTTTGGTCAATTTTTGCTTAGAACTTCTTGCTGTCAGATCGTTTCTGTCGGCGGGAGCTTGACCTGAATACAGGTGCTCTGTGATTTCAGCCCACGTAGGATTACATGTGAAGGCGATAAAAAGATCTGGTCTTCCATACATTCGAACGTAAGACATCGCGTCTTGTGCGTATTCATGCATGTGTCTAGGACTTCCCGTAAAGGTAGCTGGTAGTATCACCTGTTGTCCAACGTCAGCCATGTCTCCATCATTGGCTACGGCGTCGCGTAAGTGAATATACTCTTCCACGCGCAGCTTTCTTTGGTTTAGTTGAATGGACAGGAGCCCCTCCGTTTCTGTTTTTGCATACACATCAACGATATACTGATGATAAGCTGTCGACATCGTAGTATATGGTTGAATGACGTAGATCTAACCATCAATTAGTATGCATAGTGATCCATGACTGAAATCTTTTTGTTTGCAGGAGTGTGCGTTACAGGATTAGCTTGCTTCAGATTGAAATGATACCCATCTTGTCTGACCTAGAAGATTAGTGGGTAGGAGAGCATCATAAGATCTGTGCGTTTCAGATATGCGCTGTAGGACATCGCTTCTTTTCTGAATATTATATCGCGTCTATCGCATTCATTTCCCACTGAAACTACTGCCATTTCGTCAACACTTGGGGCGTTATAGCGCCTTTCATGCTCGTTAGTTGGTTGGTTTTTATCTGCTTGTATGACAACCTTATAGTCGTCTGTTGGCATTTTTTCTAAAGCAGTCTTGAAAACATGTACTAAGCCGCTGTTTCGATGCAACATGCTCTGTAGATTGGAGACAATGTTAATTCTAGTGCCAGGTACATATTCACACCTACGGGTAGCCTGTAGCTGCTCATCAGACACAAAGTAAAGCTGTAGAGAGTAGCGACCCGATTCTGTGACAGATTTGTCCCTGCTTTTTGAAGGTGGGCATAAATCCATCCTCGACAATCGTTGCACTTGACCCAAACGATGTCATCTGAAAGCAGGAGTTGTATCTTCTAATGTTTTGAAGGAAATGTTTGGAGTCCGCTGTAGTCCCCTCCATGTATGACATCTTTGGTTCAGGAGGGTTTTCCGGCGGTGACAACTTAACTTTGCTATTTGAGCAGCACATCCCTGGAGGTTCTGCTGCGAACTTCTTGGCCTGAAAATAACTACAGATCCTATCCATCATTCCAATAACCACTTTCAATGGACAGAATCCTGATGAGGATCGTAGTTGAAGGCTGCCAGTCTCAAATCTGCCCACCTGTGTGACTGGTGGGCCTGTACACGTCGTTGTTGTTCAGAATGTAGGCGTGATTGAAATTGTTCAGAAGTTTCTAATGCACGAGAACGTCTTTGTTTGAAAAAATCAACATCTAATCTTCCCTGACGTTGTTCCGGCGTTTCTGTGGCTTGAGACGCAACTCGTTGACAATTTTCTTCATTTCTTCCCTTACGATCCTCAGGAGTCTCTGAGGCTCTTATGTTCGCTATTCGTATACGGTTTCGTTCAAGTTTTTATTGATGCTGCTCAAGTGTTTCCGCAGATGTTAGTTCAGCGACGCGCAGGCGAATATCTTCAAGACTTGCCCGACGTTGCTCAGGTGTTTCGCATCCCTCAGTTCTGCACTTCTCCGACGATTTTCTTTAAGTCGCCTTCATGTTCTTCCGTCGTTTCGGGTACCCGTGTCTCAAAAATTCACACACGCTCATTTTAGGGGCGGATTGCACTCTGGTCGAGGGTCTTCCCTTCTCTCGTCTCTCTCATTCGTTTCGCTCTGGGATCCTCCAATGTATGATCTCTTGGGCGGCATTGGGATGCTGTGAGAAGATCCTTATCTAGCAGTTGCGTGTAAAAGAGAACGTTCCTCCTTATACGTTACGCTTGCTTTATGGAAGTTTCAGTGAAAATTTCGGATCAGTTTTTGCTCTTATGAATAGCGAAAGAAGCTGAACTTGAACGATTTACGTATGGCCGTCACTTTTTGAAGGGCGGGAAGGGACAACGGAGCTAATCGGAGTAATACTTGAGATTCCAACGAATATACTATCCTTGAAAAAAATATCGAGTCATTTTGCCATTGATTTAGTAATTAATGCTCGACCCCTTTTCGCCAAAGCCATGTCACAACATCACTATTGTTTCCACGTCTTGTTTTTGTCAAACAATACAAACAATAGCAAAGGGTACTGCTTTTCAACAAAAAAGCGCAATTGCCGCGCGTTCTTGCAGTGGATGCAGAGCTTGTTCAAGGGTCCATACATCACTAGTTTTGACCGGTAGTTACCGGTGTAGTTGCGTAAGCCCCGTAAGCCGCCTTATGAAATGATCAGCCTTTAACTCTCATTTTTCTGTCAATCATAACATTGGTCGGTAACTATTTCTCTTTTATGATCGGTAACTCTTTCCCTTTTACATCAGGATACGTTAAAAAGGAAAACACAGTCAAGGGATGCCCGTGTAGGAAAAGTAAAACACACAAAATGACGACGATCGGCTCATCATGCAGCGTCAAAAACCTCACTGAAAGGCTGTTAAGAACGACAACAATCATAATGATTATCATTGGCAACATTTGGTGATTATTACCGTCGGTACCCGCAAGCCGACGTCTCTGTGCGGATTTGATCCTACTCAGACATTCGCCATTGACTCCCGATCCATTGGCTCCCGAGGAGATCCCCCCACCAGTGGCGTACCGGAGGGGGCGGGGGGGGGGGGGGGGAGCGCCCACCCCCCCCCCCCGAGAACTTCGCGAAATTTTTGAAAGTTACTTACCCTCGATATCATCCCATATGTCTTCCCTCAACATGACGTGGATTACGTGGCTTGATGAGGCACCGCATCGCCTCGGGCTTGCGCCACGTTGCGTGCGCATTTTCGGCGTGATGTGGCAACAAGAAGAACGTGGAAAAGCCTGCGCCACGTTGTGTTGAGCGCCACGTCGCGCCAAATGATGCGCTCGCAACGTGGCGCG